AGAACCTCCTAAAGGGTCTACTCTTGGCCAGGTTCAGTGGCTCATGCCTGTAATCCTAGCACTTTGAAAGGCCAAGGGAGGAGGATCGATTGAGGCCAGCAGTTCAAGACCAGCCTGGGCAATGTAACGAGACACTACCTTTACAAGATAAATATATGTGTATATTAATTAATCAGGCATGGTGCATGCCTGTAGGAAGCTGAGGCAGGAGGAACACTTGAGCTCAGGAGTTCAAGGTTACGGTGAGCCTTGATCCTACTACTACACTCCAGCCTGGGCAACACAGCCAGACCCTGGCTTTAAAACATTAAAATAAGGCCAGGCACGGTGGCTCACTCCTGTAATCCCAGCACTTTGAGAGGCAAAGGTGGGCAGATTACCTGATGTCAGGAGTTCCAGACCAGCCTGGCCAACATGGTGAAACCCTGTCTCTACTAAAAATACAAAAGTTAGCCAGGTGTAGTGGTGAGCGCCTGTAATCCCAGCTACTCGGGAGGCTGAGGCAGGAGAATTGCTTGAACCCAAGAGGCAGAGGTTACAGTGAGCTGAGATCGTGCCACTGTACTCCAGCCTAGGCAACAGAGAGAGACTCCATCTCAAAAGAAAAAAATTAAATTAAATTAAATTTTAAAAAACTGCCCCTTCTATTTTGCCCACTCCAGTTTGATTATTCTACTCCACAGTGGCCAAAATGATATTTTTAAAATGCAAACCAGATCATACTATTCCACTGCTTTAAACCCCTTAATGACTTCCCAATGCTAAAAGGAAATTTTTCAAAATTCTTAACATAGCCTGGAAGACTTTATTAGCCGAGGTAACTGTCTCTCTCTGTAGAGTCATTTCTGGCCACTCTTTCTTTTGTTCTCTACAATCTAGCTTTCCCTTTTTCCAATGCCAAACTACCATTTCATGGCCTTCTAATACGCTGTCCCTCCACATTTCCCACACCCTTTCACCCATCTCCTTTCCCATTTGGAAAATTCCATTTCCCATCTGGAAAATTCCTCTGCTCTCAGTTTTCAACCTAAATTACACTTCTTCAGGTGCTTTCCCCCTTCCCCACTCAGGGTAAATTAGATGTTATATGATCTTAGTGTAGCCTATGTTTTTTCCTCATACTGTGTGTCACAAATGCAATGACATCATATTTTGTGATTACCTGCTTAATCACCATGTTTTCCACTATTCTGTAAGCTCATCAAGAGCAGGAGCCATGTCTCATTTGCTCAATACTGTGTGCCCAGACCTGGCACAGTGCCTGAGAGCAGAGTTGGGTTATAACCTCCAGAGAATGAGCCTACCAGTGGGCCCAGCAGCAAGGTGGGTGGAGGAAAGCAAGCCTGTGAAAGGGGGCACCCCTTTGAGTTCATTCTTCACGAGTGTCTAAGTTCATTTTGTGCTGCTAAAACAGAATACCACAGGCCAGTTAATTTATAAACCAAGCTTATTTGGCTTATGGTTCTGGCGGCTGGGAAGTCCAAGAGTAAGGTGCTGTACCTGATGAGGGCCTTCGTGGCAGAAGGTGGAAGGGCAAGAGAACACATGCCCATGTGAGAAAGGGAAAGGGGGCCGAACTCCTTTTATCCTTTTATCAGGAACCCACTCTCACAATAACTAACCCACTCCTGAAGTAGTGGAATTAATCCTTTCACACAAAGGCAGACCCCTCATGACCTAATCATCTCTTAAAGGTCCAGCTCTCGACACCTGCATTGGGAATTCAGTTTCCAGCACATGAATTTCGAGAAACACATTCAAACCACAGCAGTGAGCCTCCCAGTCTTGCTCCCTTACTGCTTTTTCTACTGTCTTTTCATTATCTATAACCATCATCATGTGAACACACCACCTTAAAGTTGTTGAAAATATGCCACTTTAGGAGAATGTGCTCAGAGGAGGCAACTGATCTCCATACCCACTCATCACCCCTCACGCCCTGGTCAGCTACTTTCTGTATATTATGTGTTAAAAATGTATGAATGAGACAAGGTCTTGCATTTCCCCTGATTCCTCGACCTCTCGTCAATGTCTGTTTGGCCCCAAAGTATCCACTCACCACTCATTCCCTCAAGTCCTTCTCCCCTTCTCAAGGTTCATCAAGGGAAGGTGGTACCTTCCTTGATCCTCTAACTCCCCTCATCTAACCTCCTTAGATTCATCCTTCTTCCCCTCGAGTTGAAAGTTCTTGAAAGAATTGTCTCCATTTGTAGCATTCACTTCCTCCCCACCTACTCACTGTTCTTTAGTGCTTTATTCACTCAATTCCTGAGTAGCTAATACGTGTTCACAACATAGAATTCAAAACATTCCAGAAGGTTCACAGTTAAGCATCTTCTTTCTACTGGTCTCCCCAAGCTTCACATTTTCCTCAGCGGCAACCCCCACTACCAGCATCTCGTTTGTCTTTCCAGAAAGCATATACTTACATTTATTCTTGTTTGTGTTTCTTTATACAAATGGAAGCATTTCTACGCATTTTCTACCTTTTGCTTTTTTCACTTAAAGTATCTTAGAGAGTGTTCTATCTACATCACGATATCCAAAGCTGCCTCATTCTTTTAAAGGGCTGCCAAAGCCCCATGGTGAGAATGGATCATACATTCTCTACTCTGGACATTGAGGATATTACTCGTGCTTTGTTCTAACAAACATGCTGCAGTGAGCATCGTTGCACATACAGGATTTTTCCACCCTTGTGAGTGCATCTGTAGGATAAATTCATAGAAACGAAACAGCACTTTGCATTTTGGAATCAAATTGCTCTCCATAGAAGTTGTACCAATTCACCCACTACAGTAGTCCATAAATTCACTGCCCCTCATATTCCTTAACAGATTGTTTTAACAAGTGTTTTTATGTTTTTCCAGTGAACCAATCTACTTTTAATTTGCATTTCCTTGTATGAATGCAGTTGTTGCCGGGCGTGGTGGCTCATGCCTGTAATCCCAGTATTTTGGGAGGCCAAGGTGGGCGGATCACTTGAGGTCAGGAGTTCAAGACCAGCCTGGCGAACATGGTGAAACCCCATCTCTATTAAAGATAGAAAAATTAGTCAGGCATGGTGGCTGGCGCCTGTAATACCAGCCACTTGGGAGGCTGAGGCAGGAGAACCACTTGAACCCGGGAGGTGGAGGTTGCAGTGAGCCAAGATCGCACCAGTGCACTCCAGCCTGGGTGACAGAGCAAGACTCTGTCTCAAAAAAAGAAAAGAAAAAATAGGCAAAACAATGCTGTTGTGCATTCTTCTTACATTTAAGAGCCCTTTGTACTTCTTGTTTCACCAACTCTCTGTTTCCATTCTTTGCCCATTTTTTCTACTACATTTTTGGTCTTTTGGTTTTCCTAGGAAAACACTATACAAGAAAACTAGTTCCTTGTCTGTGGTATAAGTTGCAAATATTTTTAATTACTCTGTAATCCTTTGCAATGTGTCTTCTGTGTCCAGGGAAGCAAATGGAACTATTGTCTCACTGGTTCCCCATGGCCTCCTGGTTGTGCCCTTCCAAGGCCTTTCTCTGTGCTCATTTTTTTTTTTCAGCATTTGACAATGCTGACCCACCCTTTTTGAATGTGCCTTTAAAAATTACATGTACTACTTTATATTGCACCATCTCCCACCTCTCTGACAGTTACTTCTCTTATTCCTTCACCAAAATTCCTGTGAAGAATGCCCTTGTGAAGAGATCTTTGAACTCTGCCTCAGCAGTTCCCCAGGGATGAGCCCTGGCAGAAGATCTTGCTGGAGTGTTTTCTAAGCACCTTAAGTCTAGTGTGATGCGCAGACAGCTATTTCCATAGTTGAGTCCAAGGCAGGCTCAGCATGTTTCCTTGGCTCTTTTACTTTTCATCTCCACATCAAGCTCAACATGTCTAAAACTGTTCCTTACAACTTTTTCACTTCCCTGGGGTTCCTATCACTCTCCCAATCCTCCTAGGTCTGAATCCTCCAGTTCCCACAGCCCAGGAGTTGCCAAGTCCTATCAATTCTTCTGTGAAAGTCATCTCCTCCACTTCTGCCCTCCTTCCCAGACCCAGATCATCATGCTTGTCACCTCACTCTTTATCATGTGTCTTGGATGATTCGTCAACACTTTTTCCTTCTGCAGTCCTGCACATGCAATCTCCCGCTGCCCTTTGGGGAAGCCTCAATCCCTCCCATGCACCAGTGCTCCTCACTTACACCTCACCAGAGGGCTCTGCACAAAGCTAGAATCGAATGTGAATTAAGGAAGCCTGGATCCAAATGAAGTACCATGTATCCTGGAACTGGAAGATGGCATTTGCAAAAGTGAAAATTTTATATATACATATACACACACACACATATATACATATATAACATATAGATATATACACACACACACATATATATATTTGTGTTATTCCTTTGGACACATCAGTTCTCTGTGTGTGTGTGTGTGTGTGTGTGCGCGCGCTTTGCCATTGTTGCTTTTGTTTGCACTTATTTAATTTATTCAACCAACCAGCGTGTACTTTTATTCTGGTCTCCCAAACTCCTTCCCTCCAGCCCCGCTCTACTTAGCTCTCACTTTTGCTGCAGGTGTACCCACCCCCTAGAAAAATTGGTGGCAAGGAGCCATCTCCAAGACCCTGCTCCGTTTCCCAGTCCCAGGGGCCATCCAGCAATGCCAGGCCAGTGAGAAGGTGGCCTAACCCTGACACTCTTAGGCCAGTGTCTCCTGTCCACCTGCGCCACTCTGCTGTCTTCTCCTTCACCTTCCATGAGCCATCTTTCCCCCACCCCCACCCCAGCACACACATACAAAGACCCTGCAGGAAATGGCCTCCAGCCAGGTGTCACAGCAGAGTCCGCTGACATTCTAAGACATCCTCGGTGCATGGCTAGTTGCTCTGGCACTTGAGTATTTCTTTGGGTCCCAGGATTCAGCATCCCGCTCTGAGGGACGCAACCACCCTCACACATTCAGAGTCACCGGGATGCTGTTTGGGGGTCAGTAGACAGGATAGAGTGAGGAGAAAAGGGGGCATCCGGGAGTGCAGGACGAGCTGCCCGCGGCAGGAGAGAGAAGGGAGGAGAGAGGTGAGGCGCTGGAAGGGGTGGGGACGGCTGGGCTGGCCCAGGCGGGACCGTGCACCCTGTGTGCGCGCGGCGTTGAAATGCCCTGCACGTCGGGGCAGCGGGACAGAGCTCAGGGCGCCCAGGGAGTCTGCGAGTGCCTCGATCCTCCTGCTGGAACCATGACAGAGAACTCCGACAAAGTTCCCATTGCCCTGGTGGGACCTGATGACGTGGAATTCTGCAGCCCCCCGGTGAGTACCGCCAGGGATTCCACACGCAGGGCCCGGGGTGAGTATCTGGTTCCACAGTTCCGACTCAGGGATGCGTGCCACCGAATGAGTATGTTGGCGGGGGGAATAAATTTGGGTTCCAAATGTGTGCGTGGGGTGTCGCCCCACGCGTATGAGTGTGCAGGGGGCACGGCATCCACAGGCGGGTACGGAGGGGCGTCCCGTGGCCGATGGAGGGTGCAGGTCCTGGGGCGAAGGCCCCGCGCTGCGAGGTTTGCTCACCGCACTTCCTCGCCCGATTGCAAAGGACCCTAGGGAGCTAGCGCGGCGAAAGGGGCACCCGTAGGAGCCCGGGCGAGCTGTTTCCCGCCCGACTCCCCACTCCCTGGGGGCCACCTCTCTGACAGTTACTTCTCTTATTCCTTCACCAAAATTCCTGTGAAGAATGCCCTTGTGAAGAGATCTTTGAACTCTGCCTCAGCAGTTCCCCAGGGATGAGCC